TGTATATACATATATATATATATATATATATATATATATATATATATATATATGCATATGTATATATTAAAGATTTTTATTTTTAAACTAATTATATCTTATTCATACCAGGACACAGACGTTCAGCCGCCATTTGCAATGAATGGGAGGTGGGTGAACTAAGATAATAGCTGGCTAACCGGAAAAAAGAGCTGATATAAGACATACAGACAACGTATAGAGATGCTGTGTGTTTCTAAGCCTTCGGGTACCTCAGTAAGTATGTCAGATGCAGATCTGACGACGACAGATGTCCATCAGAATACTTGGGATTGTATGAAGTATTTCTGTTATAAACAGATATAAAGTAAAATGCTGAATGAAAAGAGAAAACGATGAGAATCGAGCAAGAGAAAAGAGGAGAGTTGAGATAAAATGAAATCAAATGAAGATGAGTCTCACAAAGAAATTGGCCTAAAGAAAAGAAAAACTATGTTAAAAGGAGAATTCTTCTAAGCTGCTTAGATCATTCGAAGCAAGTAAATGAGGGGAGGAGGATGAAATAAGAAGTTGAGTTTTTCAATTAAGATTGGAAAAAAAATGGAAAAGAAGCAGTAGAATTAAACGTTTAATTAATTAATGTGCTCAATGCTGATGATTAACTCGCGTCTACGCGTTTCACGTGGATAACGTCAGCGACGTGGCCTTTCACGTAAACGAGCAACTTTTGATCATTTTAACTTCGTAAACGAACTGGAACGGTTGCTCAAGATCTTAGACAACGTTGTATGTTTTATAAACGAATGGAGGGATGTCTTGCTGAAACTTTCGAAAAAATAGTTTATATGATGTCATTGTTCAGTGAGTATATCTTTTTTTTCCAAAGGAAAATCATATACGCAGCACTTTTCTGCATAAGGAGGAGACGACTTGTTGAATGATGATGGATGTTACAGTTAATTTTTAGATAAAGTAATTATATTGAAAAATCCATGATAATTCGATGGAAAAACGGATAAGGGAGTGTGCAACAGATCTCTGAGTGACTTGTGGTGTTAGAGAAGATGAAGTTTGGAAAATTAAAATTAATGATTTAAGAAGGAGTTCACAGAATGCCCGGGGGATAGTTCGAAGAAATGAAAAGGTCACGAAAAAAATTGAAAACGAGTCAAAAAGAGCAATGACGTCAAAAAAAGATGACAGAGTAGCAGAAAATTATGTAAGTGAGCTTATAACTGACAAAAAAAAGAGATGTTCAAACTAAACTCATGTGCGGTCATTAATTTTTCATCAGAGTCGGAGTATGTTTAAATGTGATTAAGAGAGAGAAAGCTGCAAACGTTTATGAGAATGATCAAAAATGTTAAGCATAGATCAAAGCAGGAAAGAAGGTGTAAGAGAGCATGAGAAATTGAAGTTGTCGGATCAGAGTCCTCGTCTAGCATATTTAAACGAATAAGACGCTTTCTTAATATTCTGCTGTTACCTCACACAGCATCACCTGGGTTAATCAAATGTTATTCATTCGAATTAAAACATTCGATTCTGTAGAAGAGTTGACGGGATGAAAGTACAAAAACAAATTGTTTTATTCTATTTGAGTACAACTTTCCAATTCATTCCTGCTTCTGTTCAGTTGATCTTCACGATCAATCACAATAGGAAGATGACTTTCGCTTTCTGCTTCTGCTCCTCCTCCTCCTCATTCGTTTTTTCTTTCTTTTCTTGTATTGGCAGAACAAAAAATAGTTATTGAGAGATGTCAAAAAAGGCTTATTTTAACAGACATGGACTCTGACATTCCTAGACTTCGAACTGGGAAGACCGATGATAATCTGAAGCTTCTGAACTCGATGTCAGCAAGTGACAACTCTCAAGCCATTCTCGCTTCCTCTTCTTTCTTTTTTTTAAAAGCTTTTGTAGCTTCAGTCCATCTTAAACTTCCTTCATATGCCATTGGCTCATTTTTTCAATCAAAACGTATCCATATCCACTTATGTGCAAAAAAAGGAATAAGAGAGAGAGACGAGAATGTTTTAGAAAGACTATGAAGAGAAGATAGCAGAACAGAAATAGTTGAAAAATAAAATATTTCAAGCGGATTTCAGTCTCACTCAGCCATGTACCTCCTTGTCAAGCCCGTCAACTGACATGAAGGCTATAGTGAATGGAGAAGGCCCTTGAAAACAAACTCTAAAACAGAATATTTAGCTGGCGTTTATAGGCAGAAGCAATAATGAGATAACGAATAGAAAGGAAAAGCCCCTATGATGAGTAGTTACAGGCAGGAATTATAACATATTTCTCAGTCATGTCAGGCGATTTGTGGACACGATTGATGCCCAACAACAAATTTGGAAGCCAACACCTCCTACACCATTTGAAGTTTCCGACCTTCCACACAAAAAGTCCAATTGTCTTTACGGGAGAGGCATTTCCTTATTTGTTGATTGCAAACAGACAAAGTAAAAGAGAAAAAAATGGAGGGAATATTCTAAAATTCAAAAAGTTGTAGCTGTCAGGTTGACCAAACACGGCAAGCGAGAACAACTGAAAGAGTTCAAAAAGTCAGACAGTCTCTGAAGCTTGAAGATTTTCTAAAATCGGATGTATTTCGAATGAAGCAGCTTGACGTCAGAGGAAAAAAAAGGAAACTCACGACTATCCTCTCAAAACTTCTTCCGGTAAATCTTAAAGACAGAACAACGGCTATACATATCCAAAAAAGGGTTCTCTCTCTTCTGTCTCTCTTTATCCTTCTATCTTTCTCTCTCTTTCACTTCTACTCTCTCTTTTTTGCTCAGCTTTCCGGAACAAATTGTAGTTTGCATGAATGAAGGTCTGCCGGCCCCGTCATCTACTGAGCTCATAGCATCATTTGATTCCGGTTTCAAATTTCGTCGATACCCGGTAAGGAGAAAAAGAAAAAAAAATAAGTTTGTGAAAGGAGTGAAAAACGGGAAAAGAAAGTTTAAGGTGTTTTCTTTTTGCAGGAATGAGAGTAAAATTCAGATTTTCAAAATTTTTCAGACAGTTTTTTCCTCTCAACATGTTTCTCTCAATCTCTCTCTCTCTATCTGTCCCTCTTTTCTCTTCATTATCTATCAGCTTGTTATTTACTTCTCGTTCTTCTTAAGCTTACAACTACCTTAGACAGAAGTTTTTCTTCCATTTTTCAGATTCTGATTTGAATTTTGAAGTTTAAAGAACACAATCATTTGAGCTGATTTGACTTGGACAAATTCTAGAAAAAGCCATTTGCTGCTTCAAAACAGATAGCCATTTACGTAAGAAAATACAATTTTTCCAATTTATTGAGGAAATTATTTATTAAGCAATAATTAAAAGCAAAATTCGCTCTCTAATTTGATGTAAAGATGAAGATTGAAGAGGATGCAACATGATGAATAAGAGAAGCACAAGAGGCAAAAGGACATGAAAAGACAGATAGGCAGAAGAAGGGTGAAGAGTATGGCAGATTAAATTTCTCGTCCGGTAAAGTTCAAGCAGGAATTTACTTGAGGAAAGTGAAGAGAAAACAAAAAGCAAAGACGAAATGATAATATTTTCAATTCATTTTCATCTCATCTATCCATGATTGACGGCCAAAAATTCTTCAAAAATAGGAAAAGAAAATATTTTTTTGATAATCTCCCACCATATTAGGCGAAATATCAAATATCTGGGAGAATGGATATTTCAGATTTTTTACTTCGTTGACTCACTTCACTCACTATCATCAGATGGCAACACGTCGGGAAGAGAAGGACGACGCTAGAATGTAACAAGTAGATGAAAAAGAAGCAAAAGTAGATTTCAATTATTCTACGAGAGTTGAAGCTTACAAGGCCCTCCACGTTTAAAATTATCCAATGGGTCATGACAGCGTTTTTTAGCTTCTTCTCCAAAAACAATGTTAAGCCTTTCTACCTCTTTTACTCTCATTCTCTCTCTGCCTCGGCCTCTTCTCCCTTCCATCTATCTCGCGCCGTCATCCCTGTTTTCTGTCTTAAGAGAGAATAGTAATTTCTTGATGATGTTCATATACATATTCTGATTTAGTCGTAACGTTGACAACGTCATCTGAAACTTTAAAATTCTCCAGACAACACAAAATCAAATTCTTTCAACATTCTGCATGTAATGACAACAGCGAACGAGACAAAAAAATCTTTCAAACAATACAATTCGGAAGCAGTCTCTGGTCAAACATTTGTCAGTAAAAACTGAATTACCTTTTGAAAGGCAAGGGTGACGAGGTGTTTCTTGGATGAAGAAAGGTCAAATCAACGAAATATGATATTAGTTTTGATCAGTTGAAATGGAAAATGAAATTCTCAAGAAGGCCGAACTGCATGCCAATAGATGAGACATCAATTCATAGATGATAGACGCAATCATAGCTATCAACAGAAAGAAAAAGAGAAAAACGAAAAAGCGGAAAAAATGAGCTGAAGGAGGGTGGAGGGGAAACTTCCAATTTGCTTGTGCACAAACGATTATGATGATTTTTAAGCTTATTTTCTCTGCCAAAATTCGTTGTAAGGAAGAAAGAAAAAGATTTTTGTGTGCAGGAAGCTAGTCCAACGGACGTTGCTCCTTTTCCGATGATCAATCATCTAACAGGCTCACTGTACTAATAAGACATAAAGGATTAATACCTTTTTTCTTTGGAAATCCACACACATACACATACACACACATACACACAAGCAGAGAACAGCGAGGTAGAAATAAAGAAAAAAATGGAGAAAGAGAGATTGAGAAAATGTATTTTTAAGGAGAGCGGAGAGCCGTAAGACTATGAGAAGAAAGAGATGCATCATGTTATATCTGATATTGGTCGTGCAAAAGACTTCTAGCTTACAATTCATTATTCTTCAGCTGACACTCAGGAACAAACTATTCATAACCTTCGTCATCTTAGATTCACTAATTTTTCTTTTTTCTCAACTTGCGTCTCATAAAACTGATTTCAAACATTAACGATGAAGTGCGAAGAGTTCGAGGACAAGAAGTGATGCACGCTTCTGGAGTGCTTTTGACGGCACTTCACGTGCTGTGCTCTGATCATCGAAGTTCAAAGGAGGATCAAAGGCAGGTTGCTCAGATTGTTCCCTTGTTCTCAAGCTCATCGTCACGCAATTCAGCGATGCTTCTGACACCTTCACCTCGTACAAAGTGGACACGGCATAACTGAACTCATCGCATCGCAATTATTTTTGCAATTCCCCATATTTTAATATGATGCTCTTTCGGGCTTTTATTCTTTGCCTCCGCGTGAGGAACATCTTCTAGGAGTCAAATGTATGTATTTATCTCTATAATGACGAGGATTTGAAAGAATTAGATGGACGGATACTGACAGAAATCGGCTGGGCTCTATCTAATAAAAGGAAAACGAGTGACGGACAGCTGGACAGGGTTAGCCATTTGAGGTTTTTAACAAACGAAGAAAAAGGAAAAAATGAAAAACGATCAGACAAAACGAAGAGAAGAAAGGAGAGACACAGTTATTTTAAATATTCATACGAAGAGGCAGAGACCGCAAAAAAATGTAGAAAAGCGTTTATGATACAGGAAGAAAACGTGCATGAAGTTCAGACGAAAGAAAAGGCATGGAGACTAGTCAGACATGTCATTTTGGGAAAAGGAGGTTCTTTTATACGAAATGAGAGACTTATAGAGAGACGGATGGATAGACAGGAGCTGGATACGAGGGGCAAAAGTGCTGTCCATAGATAGAGACGTATAAGAGGGTGAGAAGGAAAAATTCTAACAAAAAAAAAAGAAAATTTTCTAAAAATTTGAAATATAAGAAAAAAAAACTTTCTTTTCCAAATAATTAAAATGAAAAAAGCCCCGTCGCAACGGGCAAGCAAGAAAGTGGCAAGGAAGGAGAAAAGGAAAACGAAAGTCGTATATCAAATGATAATGTAACACGTAAACACATATATTCAGCTTAAGTCATTAAAGTATGAACTATAGATGTATATCTGATAGGAGAAATACAAAAATAATATTATGAAACATAGTTATTTCAACATGTATGATGTAATATATTTGATAAATGGATAGTACTTAATATGGAAATTATCAAAAATATTTATGAATTTTCATAAATTTCAGGTAAAGTTCCTCATTCGCAACGATAGTAGACACATACATACATATATACCAACACATACAAATACACATACACATGCACATGCATACTACCTCTTTCCCTCTCTTCCTCCCTCCCTCTCCCTCCCTTTTCTCCTCTCTCTCTCTCTCTCTCTCCATCTATTCACTTTTCTTTATCCAAATGAAGACAAACGAAATTGAAGAAAAGAGAATAGAAATTTCATTTTTTTTTGTCTCCCCTGAAACAAATATGCTAATTTTGTGAAAATAAGGAAGGATAAGCTTGTTCGGTGATCTTTAAAATATCAAAAAATAATATCCAATTTAGGATAAAGAGATAGAGAGAAAGAGAGAGAGAAAGAGAGAGGGAGAGAGAGAGTTGGCGAATCATCTGTCATTTATGTTTTTGAAGCACTGACAGCCCTCGATTTATAAAGAGACTAGAGAGACAGAAGAAAAAAAAAGAAACAATAAATAAATTTTAAAATAATAAGAATGGCGGTCGCGCGCGATTGCAACAATCTCCAATCCATTTTCATTTTTTTGCGTCACGAAGCTGAGAGCGGTTGCATTTTTCTGAACTCCTTCTTCTCTCTCTCTTTTTCTTCGTCTTCATCGTCTTCTTTCTTATTTGCGGAAGAGATTCGAATTTTTTTGTTGAATTGTTTTCAAATGGAATTATTCATTTTCTGTACGATTCCCATAATATTATAATATATTTATTTTTGTTTGTAATTGTTTGTAAGGATAAATCGAATAAATAATTATGAGCCGTCGTCAAGTGTCTAAAATGAAAATGCCCAATTAATAGGGACGATGCCATCTCTCTATCACTCTCAATCACCCTCTTTTTCTCTGTTTCTCATCATCTCTCTCTCTTTCTGTCTACCTCTCTCTCTATCTTACTATTTCACAACGATAGATCCCTCTTTGTCATTTTGAATAGACTTGAGCAAGAAAAAGATTATTGCGTTTATCAGATATCGCTAAATCATTAACTAAGTTGATTATGAAGAGTTTCACTCCATATATGTAACTCAGTCTCTCTCTCTCTTAGTTTCTCTCTATATTTCATCTTACTCTCAACTTATTCAGACAAGTCTGCTAGAAAATAAAAACATTTTTATTATAGTTTTTTCGTTGAATAAGCTAAAATGAATAATTAACGAAAACATCTTCCTCGTAAAATGCTGTGCAAATTTTTTTTTTTTTAAAGTTCTTTATGTCAATTTTTTTTTCAAGCGAGAAAAAAAACAGAAAAGTCCATGAACAACGAACAGCTTTTGCAAATGGTTTCCGAACTTGTTTTACAAACCAACTTTATGAGAGTTCATTTATGGAAAACGATTTGAGAGAACATAAGTTTGTCCTGGATATGTCAGAACTAAGAGACTAAAAATCTTTTAATTACTGAATAATTTGTTTAACATTGTTCGGAGGAAAAACTTGATACAGGGTACAAAGGGAAAAATGGAGTAAGAGAGGGAAATAGAGAGAGAGAGAGAGAGGGAGTGGAGACGGAAAGTATGACATTCATGGTGTTTCAGAGAGAGATAGAGGGATGAAGAGGTATAGAATAGAAAGAGAAAAGGAAAAAATGAAGAAAAGAGCTTAGCGTCAGCAAAATATGAAAACCAAGGACGGATATAAGTGTGAAGCCGACGGGCACAAAGTGGAACATTGGAAAGCAATAGCATCGTGACATAACTATTACGAGTACTGGATTACGTGTTTGGATGTTCTTTTAAGGCTAGGCCGTTTACTATCTTATAATGAAACTGATGACCATAAACCAACAGCTAAAATGGACGAAATTACAAGTGTAACTGACGAGAGGCCAATTTTTTTTAATTTCTCTCTTCCTCAGTATAAATTAGAATAATGAAATGAATACCAAAGATTTTTCAAACTCAAAAAATAACGTGAAAGGAGGAGGGGGTGCCTAAAGAGAGACATGATAATCAGTAGAAGACAACCGTTCTCCAAATCTGCTGAGAGTCACAATGGCAAAACAATGAAAGCACCACGTAAGATACACGTGAAATTAGCATAGAGATTTCAATCACGGAAGCGCAACTATTAATAGTCAGTCAATAGCCTAATTTGAGCTTTACTGAACTTGCTGTGGCCATACATTAGGTCCTACTAATCTAAAGAACTACCGAGGAACTTCATTTTTCATAAACAAATGTGGATAATGTAAACACTTGCATTCCCGAAATAGGACATCAATGGTGAAAAACATGCCCCATTCTATAACCTCATATGGTTTATTTGAGTATTTCGCCTAAAAATTGAAAAAATCTGAATGGAGGAGACACCAGGAGCAGTAATGCTTTAATGATATAATTTGAAGCGTTGGTCTCCTAAACCTCGTTCGCTTGACAGATCCAGAGCCTTTGTCATAATGCAGTACTGTGTACGTTCATTTAATTTTGAGGCAATCGGGTCTTCTGCTGCTTCTTACCAGTACATCTGCATTATATGATAACTGGTATAAGCACAAAGAATTCAAATATATTCGGGAAACTGAAGGTGTGAATAAGTATAATGCTCGTCACGGTAGAATTGAAGTCTCACAACATTGGGATACAGAATGAAATCTAATTTAAATACGTAGCCTCGTTTCTTGTAAAATATAGCAAGTTAAAATATTCTAGTCGCTTACTCGAGATAATTCTTGCTCCTGGAGAAGTAGAGGGAAACCGAAGTGTTTATAATAATGGTCACCTCCTTTGATGCGCCTTATGGAACTTCTTACTCTGTTGATCAACCTCAATGTCGTCATCGTTGGAGTGTTGACAGAGTTATCTGCCTGGAAGTTTGTTCCTTGTGAGAGATTCATTTTGCATTTCTAGTTTTTCATCTTTGAGTCTCTGCTAGGATGTAAGCTATGTTTCAACCAAGTTTACTTCTGTAGTGGGGGAGTTAGTAGGCCGATAGCTTTAATATGTTGCCTGGTTTTCAAGGTCTATTGAACTTATCCATTTGTGTCGAGGAAGAGAGAGGGGCTCGGAAGAACTGTCTTTTAATAGAGCTTCCTTAATCCATGTGCCAGTACTGCTGTTTTTCTATATAGCTTATACGGCGGCAGGAGGCCTTTAAGCGGTTCACCGATGAAAAAACTCATGAGTCCAACATCGCTCAACTTTGCCAACTCCGACTTCGAAGATAGCGACGATTTTGTAAGTAATTAGCTAGAAAAAAGAAAATTCTACGGGAAATAGAACGGTGAGAAGGCGATGTCTGCTACAATGCGATGTATGCTATTCAGAAATTCGCTTCGACGAGAGTCTCATGACTTGGCCTCGCAAGAGAGGACCAAAATGATTAGAAACCTATATATAAAAAGAGCACTCAGAAGCATAATAAGACAGATTTATAGAACAACCGCGAAACTATGAGATTTGAAAATAATAATGACCTCGTTCGAGTAAGGATTAATGTAGATCGTAGTTATGAACGTGCAGAATGTTAGGCGAACTGGGAAAACTCGACAGGGAACAAAAAGGATTTCAATTAACTTCAAAGCTGATACCACATATCGCAAGTCAATAATGTTTAAACGTAATTGAATAACTTATGAGACTTTAATGATTAGTGTAGTTATACCCATCTTATGTAGTGAGCCCGATACCATAATACTACCTAATAATCATGGAGTTGGTTAGAATGTTATTGAGATCTGTATGAGGTCGAATAAAATCGTCTTCGCAGTCCAAGATATTCCCAATCAAACGGTGATCGGGCGAGAATCGAGAAGAAGCTGGTCCAGAAACTCTGATATGTCTATAATAGGCATCAGTTCATTCGAAATTGTGATTCGTATATACCGAATATGAGTATCACGCCCGTTCTGGTGGTTTTGAACAACTTGAAGCTGAACTACATTGGCTCGTATTGGAAGATTTTTACAATCCCTCACATCAATGTGCTAGAATATTTAAGTTCAAATAAGATTGATCAATTAGGAACTAACATGCCAACCAACAGGCTCTCGGAAAAAATGCTCATGGCCATCATCCAAATGCATCAGAGACGCTCCTGTGTATACAACAATCCTAGAAAGTTCTGGTAATAGAAAGAAAAACAGTATAGCCTACTTGCTAGGGGTGTACGACTCGTCGTTCTTGAAGTCCAAGTAAAGCCAGATGAAGCTGATATCAGTTTTCTTCGAAAATTCGATGGTTACAGTGTGGGGCTGAGGCCCATCACTTTGCCAATACTTGTCAACTGACTCATCTAATAACTCGTGGATACCATAGCCATCTGAAAAATAACTGAAACTACAATCACAGATTTCAGAAAAAAATCAAACAAAATGCTTACCTATTTTACAACTGGAGAGTGTCCACGTTCCTTGGTGAGAAATATCACGCAAAGGCAATTCATTCCTATTCACTCCAGTGGGAACATGATGCCTCTGAAATGTTTTAGTCTACTAGGTTCACTTATTCTTTCAAATCATACCCAGTCAGAGCCGTTCGTATGATGAGAAACTGTTCGCGACTCACTCCCAGAGTCTTCTTCGGCTAAGAAGAGTGACTCGGACATGTTTGAAAAATTACTAAACGAATTCAGATTGAGAAGAACGGCTTAATAGAATATGAATTTGAAATTATTTAGATAGTTTGTTGAACAATGCTGAACCGCGGCCTGAAGCGCGCTCTAATGAAATGATGCGGACTACGGTAATCAATACTTATGCCGGCATTGTTTAGACCTTCAGCCATACCATTTTTGGCGCATCAACTTTTAGCGTCTTAATTTGATTTTTCTGTTTTTCTGCTTAATTAATGAAAATCACATATTCGTAACTTTCAGAGGGTTTTACCACATCGGATTTTGAAACTGGTCGTTATTTGCATCAGTTCTTAAGATTTAAAGACGCTTCCTCATAATGGCGCAGAATATGTATCGTGTAGGCGGTAAGTTCGAATTCATTTGATTACTCTGCTTTCAAAAAGAATCAAGCAGGCCATATATGATATGATTCTTTGCATTTTTAATTCCAAACCATTTTGCAGACTGCGTCTATTTTGAAGATTCCAATGCGGGCCCTTACAATATTAGAAGAATTGAAGAACTGACAAAGGTAACACGACTTTCTTGCAGTTTTTAAGTTTTTTTTGTTCCGTTCTTGTTTTCTATATCATGTCATTATCTTTCTTGTTAAAACTACGCTCTACAGAGTGGAACTGGTGGAAATGCTGTGGAAGCTCGGGTCACTGTATTCTATAGGCGACGTGATATTAGTGCTGCTTTGCTCAAAATTGCCGATCAAGCAGAAAGAAGATTTGATGAGTGTTAGTTTTTATTTTATATTGATTTTTGCATTCTTCGCTATCTTTTCTAATGACATCTCTCTCTCTCTTCCTCTCTCTCTCTTTACTTCCATAGCCTCTAAACTTCTCTATTTCCTCCTCTCCTGTTTTGCTTCTAACATCATTATGTTCATTTCAGATTTAGAAGAAGACAAGGCAGATTCTGAGTCCATGGATATTCCAGGTCAAAACGCGGGTGCAAATGCGAAAGATTCTGATGGTATTGGAGATTTTTGCTATTGTCTCTAGTGACCTTTCTGTTTCAGGGAGTGAAGGTAAAGAAAACCGAGAAGATGATACCAGCTTCGATTGGGGATACGCTGGACTTCCCACTGGAGCTGAGAAGTTATCAAAAGCAGATAGATACAAACTAAGGTTTGCATATGGTCTCAGATAATTACTTATCTTTGCTTGCAGATTACGAGAGTTGTTCCTATCTAGACAAATTGAAACATTGCCTGCCTCACAAATCAGAGGGAAGTGTTCTGTTTCATTGCTCAGTGATATTGAAAATCCTGAATCTTACGATAGAGAGGTACGTATCTATATTCGTGGAAGCATAGAATAATATTTGTCGAGTTCAGGATGCTTATTTCTACTCATTGGTTTATGACCCTTCCCAAATGTCCCTCTTAGCCGATAAGGGTGCTATACGTGTAGGAGAGAAGTACCAGGTAATTATCTTTTTTATCAATGATCTCAACTAACTTTTCAACTAATTAGGCTGAAGTAGCTGCATTCAACCCTGCTCTTACCGAAACAAAGCAGGAACCAGAAGATACCAAAGAGAATGAGTTCGTCTAACTTCTTTTTACATATTTTCTATTATCATTCACAGGGATCTCATGATAGCGGAAGAAGAAGAAACAGACGATGACACTAAGAAGGATGCGGCTAAAGGCGCGATTGATGAAACCGAAAGAGAAATTCTTGTCTATCATCCTCACCACAATCTCACTGAGAGAGAAATTGACCAATTTCTTATTGTTGCAAGGTGAGTACTCCGTTTATTTTACGAACTTTAGCATAATTTTGATTCCAGAGCAGTAGGCACTTTCTCAAGAGCTCTTGACACAAGCTCTTCTACGAAACTTCCTTCACTTCATATGACAGCAGCCGCTGCTTCGCGGGATGTCACCATATTCCACGCTATGGCATTACTTCATCAGGCAAACTATAATCTTGCTGAGGGAATGAAGTTTTTGGTTCCACCCCCGGTTAAAGAAGAATATCCTTTGGATGTTGATAAAGCCACGGGTCATAACACCATTAGTTTGGGTGGGCCAATCCTTATAAGGCAAGTCGTATCCGTGCAAGTGCCATCCATAAGTAGCCTAATTGTAGGGACCAGATTGAAGAGTGGTCTGCTGCTGAAGCAAATCTCTTCGAAGAAGCTTTAGAGAAATATGGCAAAGATTTTTCAGACATCAGAAATGATTTCGTGAGTACTGATTAGCTTTACTCATAACATAAAATGAAATCCTAATGAATGGTTTTCAGTTGCCTTGGAAAGGAATGCGGGATATTGTTGAATATTATTACATGTGGAAGACGACTAACCGATACATCGATGGACGTCATAAAAGAATTGTTGAAGAAAAAGAGTCCAAATTGAAACAGGTAAACCTTTGTTTTATTTGTTCATGCTCTTATTCTTTGATTAAGGTGTATATTCCAAGCCACAACAAACCATGTGCCAACTTAATCGGTCAACTAAATACCACTAATGTACTCGTTGGAGGCAGTGTTTGTGAAGGCTGCAAGGTATTATCTTATCTTTCTGCCGTTTTATTAGTTGCTCGGTATAGGCAAAAGAATCTGTAAACTGGTTTGCTTGGGGACCAGCTCAACTTCAATTGAGACTTTGCCACACTTGTTGGAATCATTGGAAACGCTCGGGTGGTTTGCCTTTCAAGCATTCTTGCGGTATTCAAGTTTTAATCAATACTCATCTAGTGAAATTCTTTTACAGATCGTTATGATCTCGAAGGCGGTACCGACATATCAGCTGTTGAATCGAAAGTTACTCAAATCAGCGCCAATTCTGTTACCTCAGTTAATCCTCTTGTTATTAACAAAACTTCTGCCGCTGCTCAGGTTTTTTTTGTGGCGGTCCTTTCATCTCATTCTCTGTTTCAGAACCGCGTTGTCGGGACTGGCCAAATCGTGGCTCGATTGCCACCTTCTGCTCAAGTTCACCTTAACTCTGCTGTTAATTCATTAACCAAACCCGGAAGTTCTCTTAAAACGACAACTCCTCCTCCAAAATCTAGTTCTGACAAATCCTCACTGGTAAGATAGTTGCGTGGATGAACTCTTTCTATAAAGAAGATTTCAGCCTCGCGCAGCTCCTTTTAACTTAAAAGCCTCCTTATATACCCGTGTTGCTCGTCGCCTTACACCTAAGTCTGTACTGAATATCAGGAAACAGGCCCGCAATCCTCACCTAGAGATAGATGTAGCTATTGTAGCTGATTATGGTAATAGTATATGGACTGAGTACTCATGACTATATATTGCCTGTTCCAGTTGCTTCCATAGACGTTAGAAAGATTATTGATGCAGCCAAAGTTATCACCAATAGCCGAATCCCTCCAGCATTCACCAATTTCCTAAAAGTAAGAAAAAAACTGAACTAGCTACTCTTGCTCTCGCTTATCCCTCCCAATCTGGACTGAGAGTGGCTTGCACGTGTTTGAACTCTAGCGCTTACGCTGCTTACCTATTCTCAAGCTTTTGTCACAACCGAGAAAAAGTTTCATTGTTGAGTCATACTGATATATTTTTTTCAGGATCGAAGTTCGTTAGTGAAGACTGATATAACAACGACCGATGTTAACAAGGTTTGAACGATTTGTTTCCTAACGCACTCACGGAGATTCAATTCTTCATACATGTTTCTCTCATCCATATCCTTCATGCATGATCTACCTTAACCGTTAACAGGACCCTATTACTAACCCCATCCGTCCTGCTAACTTAATAATCCTTTAACATTCGTTGTCTGTTTAACCGGAAAGTGAAATGTCGTCGTCCTTTAACATGTCGGAGCAGCAGAGCAACATGTTGTGGATAACCGGTTATTTTTCTAGGCACGCAATTCCCTCCCTCCCAAGAAATTTACCTCGGCCAGCAATCTGTTCCGCTTCTTTGCCGGACCAAATATTCGGTGTGTAGTAGAAATGTAGCAAGTAGTTCAGCTTTTACCATGTGCATCTTTTGCCTGTTGGGGTGACGGTGCTTGTGTCACGAATGTTCTCTTCCCACTGTCCCTCAAGCATTTCATACTTAATATACTCATCGGTCTTTTTCAGTAAAGCCCGTGCGATGGTGATCAAAGAGAAAGGTTTACGACGACGACAATTTGTTTATGATCCTTCAGCTCATCTTATGTTAATTAAACTTTTCACTCATTCTAATATGTGAACGTGGATGTTCATTTGTAAACTTGCGTGTTCTCGTACGTCAGCCTTATATGGTTGATCTCTCTATAAACGTCTTTAAGTTTTATCTTACGTAAGCACTTAAAACTTGAAGGCAAATCATTGTTTCTTCCTCGAGAAGAGGTTCATAATCTTATATTGTTCATAATTTCTTGTATAGTTTGCATGTTGTCCTACCCGAAATCTCTTGGTAGTCCGTGTATTCATAATGTTCTCATAACTATGTGTAATAATGATGAAGCTCTTCATGTCTGTGCTTCTTTATGTTTGCAGTTTTCTAGTAAAATAGTCGTCTTCCATATTTGGTCAACTAATTTATTGAGGTCAAGATAATGTTATGCCAGTCTGTTTTCTTGATCTCTACGGCTTCTTAGTTTTCTCCATTTCCTAGCTAAAGGACTAACGAATGGATTCATCATATACATTGGTGGCTCTTCTGGCTGAGAAGCTTGTTGCTGGTAAAGCGGTACTCTGAAATTTTTTGTTTGCTATTCTCGTATTGTAGTATTTAAATGAATTTTTATAATCGTTAAACTGCTTACCCTCTGCCTGAGCCTCCAGTCCGAAAGTCGTTTGGTGTTACTAAAGCCCATTGGAACGTAGGGGCTACAAGAAGTAGAATGATAAAGAACATCTTCATATTTTCTGGAATTGGACCGATAATGAGTGAACAAGAGGCAATGAACGATACTGAACTCAAGTGAATGTGAATAAAGAGAAACACGAATAAAGAGAAAGAGAGTGGGAGATTTATTAAGTGGGTTGCTCCTTGGAGAAAACGCCTGGAAACTTTCGATATGGACTAGTTGGCGTATTAAATGAATTCATACAAAGGACGTTCAAGGAGATAAAAACAAATTTTTGAAGCTCTCAATCTTTGAGATGTCATCCGCTGACAGTTGGTTGTGCAGAAGAGGAGCTTTTAATCAAATGTAAATTTAGAATGGAGGAATTCTGAGTATTTGGTTTCGTTATCTGAAATGCGAAAGAAGGATTATGAGAATGGAGAAGTTCGAGAAATGTTTCAAGCGAGCTTGTAGAAAACATTCATGGGAACTGAATATGAAGAGTGAAATCATCGAAAGACAAATCGAAGTCACACATTCGTTTTAATGGAGGATGCCTGTAGGGAATAGGTGCTGGAGTATAAGCAACCCACGCTTCCATGTTTTTCTCTAAGTTTGAGGAGTGGAGACTGAACGGAGTTTTTAAAGGATCAACAACGTTCAAACTCTAACTGAACTGTTCAAAGATGTCATCGTGCAGAGCTCTCGATGACATCTTAAACGGAAATCATAAGTCTTGATAAATGGGGGAGAAGTTAAAAAGGAAAATCTGAGAGGAAATGAGGCTGAATGATGAATTTCTAATGACACCTTTAGTCCGAATCATTATGCACATCTAATCCTGACGACCACAAGATGAATATTTGCAGCCAAATATGGAAATCACGTTGATCACCGTACTTTTCTACCTACTCCAGGAAGAATGAGAGGTAACAATGAAGCGAACAAATATTTTCTTTTCGAATGTAGGAAAGAAAAATAATTTTTTGAGAGAATACTTGGAAAACGACTTTTGGAAAAAAATTTCAAAACTCTGAGACAGAAGCTTTTTTTCGAAAGAAACAGAGCTGCTATGGGAATACGGTGCGGCTTAAGTAATCGTTGAGCTCAATCAGTTGCGCCAATAATTTCGAATTCTCAACATTTCCAGGGATTTTAATTAGAAATGATTCTATAAGAGGGAAGATCTGTTCCCGATTTTCTCTACGGAAGTGGAGAAAGATGTACTTCGTGAGTATAAAAAGTAATATTTTACGAATGGGATTGAGAATTGAGTTTCAACCTGTTTTCTGCTGGAGGATGTCAGCTCATTGGATTTATTGCTCGTAGGCTGTTACTGTACAATTAACTAATTGTGAAGCGAATGAGGGATGAAGCTCCTTGTTTTCTCTCATCCTCTATTCATTATTCTCATCTCCGAATGGAAATGATACAGAATAGATTAGTTGGGTTCGGACCACAGAAGGTTCCATGTTCCAGCTGAATGAGTATGCGCGTCTATGTTTCATCACTTCATAGGATAAGGGTTTTTGAATTGTTGATATCATTTCTAAATATATCTTCTAAGAGTGAAAAATGAAAAAACCAAAATTTGAATAAAACGAAAGAAGTCGAGAGAGGTAAATAACACTCCTTATTTGCACGTGAGGAATAAACATAATAATGAGAAATTAAAAACAAACCACTTAAATATAAATATTACACATGCGTAAGTGTGACGAGAAGGGAATTTTAGAAAATCTGAAAAATTCAATCTGTTACTGCTACAAATACGCTTTTTGAATTATTTCATAAATAGGCGAACAGCAATTACATAAAATACGGAATACTATTAACATTCTATTTCCATACGATATCATCAGCATGTCACTACGTAGGAATTATTAACAACTTCATCGAAGTCGGCCTCCGCAATGGAATTGTTTCTATTGACGAGAGCTTTCACAACGTGAGCTCTATGAAAACGACTGTCTGAGAAGCTTACAAACTTATAAATTTCCGGAGAAATAAACTTCCTACAGAATTCGTGTATTGTTTTTCATTTTATCTTATGGATTTCTTCCATCTACTCTAACTAATTTTATTTACACAACATGAACGCGATTTCGTTTGCGTTCCCAGCAATGCTCAGTCGAAAATAAAAAAAAAGTTTCCGTGCATACACCTGTATTACTAGTATTACTCCTTCATTCAAGCAATTCAAAGAACAACATCGAAAACATTTATTACTTGCCTCATCCCGAAACGAATCTTTTCTTTGCTTTACATGTTACGGGAAACATATCAGTACAGAGTTCTGTTTATTATTACACAATATACAAGATAGATAGGATTCCGGAAGAATTTATGAGAGAAGAACAGATTCAGTCAAGCAGTCTAGAGCGGCGGTTCAAGCGCAGTCTCAGCAACATCACAGATGACATCATGACTTCACGACTCTCTGGCGGTAATTAACGTTCTTTCAATTTCCAAAATGCAGATGTTCCAATATTTTCATTTTCAAACACGTCAACGGGATCGCCAAATCAGAAGATTTATGAGCTTTTTAAGTGAATGTTGACGACATGTGAAAAATTCTTCGAACGATTTATAATTACTGCCGGAGTGTCATCAGAAGGAAGTTCGACACATCAGAACAATATTTGAAACTGGAGGATCAGTCGTGGAAATTGAGAAAACCGAAGAGTTCAATCAACTTTAAGTGAACGATCATCCCTCGATTGAAATAAACATGAAAATTGCTTTTCAAGTAAAAATATCCCAATGAAGGTCTCAATTGATTACTCGGATGTGATGATGAACAGTGAAGGCGGGCGCCCGCCGTTCTATCATTAAAAAACTGCTGGGACTAGGACATGGGCAAGTGACCAGTAAGATAGGACAGGATCAGAGAACTGAAGAGGACGGCGATAAGTATAACGTGGTATCGAAAAAACTGACGTAGTGTTAAAGATCAAAGATAAATCCGTAATGGACTTAATCGAGTAGTGCTTGGCTCTTATTGTCTGTTCCGGAATGGCCTTCCGGTTGGACTTTTGTGATCTCTTCCACAACAGGAACGGGACAACTGTAATGATACTATTAAGTAACTGTAACTGTATGATGTATCTTACCTAGTAGCTGCTATGATGGATTTGTCATTAGGATAAATACGAACTGGCGGTTCATTAGGTGAATTGTCTTCGCTCATGAAACCGGCCAATCGTTTTGATCCAATGCATGCTGCCAAAGTGGGAATAATTAAAGAAATTGCCAATGTTAAAGCTCCGGAAGCGAATAAACAGAAGCCGGCAGTTTTCCAATGCCTCATAGGATCCAGAAGCATTTGTTGTAGACGTTCTTGTGGCACGTAATAACCTCCATCCTCATCCTGGAAGGAAAAAAATTGTTGAAATTGTGGAACTTCGCTTTTCTCTACTATTGTCTCTTCATGCACACCATTCTCTTCTCGAGTTCCTTTGGAACATAAATATTCAATCCTAAGTGTTTCAGCCTTTTTGAGATTATGGCACTACCTGTATACTTCTTACTCTCCCACACTCCGTAATCTATCTATACCTCTTCAGACATCCCCTCATGCTCTCTCACTTGAATATCTTACCTGGTAAATAACGATTCGTGTGATGGACTCTTCAATACCTTCCTGAGGCCAAGAATATCCGATAATGATAGAAACAGCTCCGGCCACTAACAACAATAGACCTAAATAACATAAATTAAAACTTTAAAAAACACATTCTCCGACTCACCCAATACGGTAGCAATTCTACAGAAGAAAAGGCCTCGTCGTTGGGCAGGTGGAGGTGGCAAAAGATACCTGAAAAACAATTTTAGTATACGAAGAATTAGAAAAAAAATCATTCACATATACATAGATGTTTTGGAATCAAACTCTCTCACCCAATGATTTTCACGTAGTTTGTATTTTTCACGTGAAAATCACGTCAACTACACGTTGACGTCATCTAATTTCATTTTGCGAATTGAAAAGAGTTGTATCCGGCTGTGTATAATATAATTTCATCCATTATTATTATTATTATTATTAATTAGATTTATTTTTCAAAAGTAGTCTGAAAACGAACAGACGAATGCCAGCAGACCTTCACCATACAATCTCATCTAATTTTAGCCGATTGATGTCATTTTTTATTTAATTTTGCAGTTGTAACATTCAAAAAGAAAAAATAAAAAGAAAAAAAAATGAATTTCGTAATGAAATTCTCTTTTTCTTTTTCATTTTATCAAATTTTCTTTTATAAAATGCAAAAAATAAATAAGAATGTATGTGTGTGGTGGTGGGATACAAACATGGCTATTGATGGATATTATATGTTTTGGTGGTGGTAGTGGTAGTGATGTTGGTAGATTCAATTGGCCTTTCTAACTCGTCAAATATCGTCGAGTTGAAGTTCTTACATATCTAACGAGTGAAGCAAGAAAAACATTCAATTCTTTCACTTTTTTCTCTTCAAACCCTTCCTCATCCCACTTCATCATACTCTCTTACTATATGCCATGCTCTTTCTCTTTCTTTTTTAGTCTTCTTCCTCCCAAAATCCTTTCTTGGCATATCGTTTTTACTCCAATCTGTACTCAACATGACAGATTATAATTGGTTTTCAATCTCGTATTTCCTGTCATGTTCGTATCAAAGCTTCGTAGATACGAAAAAGCGTTTTGCTATATTTTGTAAACAAAGCATGAGCAGGAAAATGAAGAAAAAACGTTTCCTATACTTCCCGTCCTTCAGAGGTCTATGTGAAACTATCTTTGACTGAATTGAGTCTCCCCCGCAAACTTCTCCTACACTCGCGACTTTCATTAATTATTCAGCTTCTCACTCAAAAAAGCTATATTGTTAAACCTATTTTAGGACACCAAATGAATTATTTTGTTATATACACTCACCATGCTCCACTCTGTTCGATATCTTCAACTGTTGGCGATTGATAAAACTGGTGCAAGTAATTGCGGATTCCAAACCCTCTTGGGGCAGAAACCTGAAAGTATATGAGATGATTATATTCATTTCATTTTTCATGCTCTTTTAATCTGTAATTATTTTATTTTTCTAAATATACCTCGTCAACCAATGCTGTGGGCTTAGTTGGCCCCGGCGGTGAAAGCTTTTTGCCGCCACAACCCAGTCGGAAGCCGGTCATTGGCTCATCCGAATGAGATTGAAATCTGAAAGCAAATAAGTATGGGTTTTCAATAATTATAAATTACAAATTGAGAAAGCCAAATGAAATACGGAAACGCCTAAGAACGAAGATGATGAACAAGATGGTTATGACACAAAGAACAAATCGAGGTGTATAAAAAAAACCTAATGATTATAAAAAAAAAGAACTCTATAGAAAGCACATGTGCATGTTATCGAGTGAAAACTGAAAAGTTCAGAAAATGCAGAACGTGGTTTGAATGTAATCACGTTGCAATGCGTTGAAGATATACCTGAAATAGAATATCTGGACGTCATTGCTATTCAGTTTCTAGAATAAATGGAAAGTAAAAATGAAAAGAGGAAAGGAAAAATAAAATTTTTTTTATATGTATTCTCCATCTATCTGCCGTCTTCTATTGTAAATATTTTTTTGAATTAAGAAAGCTTTCTGAATGTATAAAAACGAACAATTATGAGAAGAATTAACCTCTGCTCACGAAATTTCTGGTTATTGAAGGATAGGTGCTTTGTCCATTGCGTACGTCTTCTATCATTCACCCATATGTGAATATTCTATTTATTTTCAAATAGAAAAAATAGATAGAGAGATGGATATAGGAGCCTGAGCACAGAGAGAACTAGAGAAGACAGGAAAGAAGTGGAAAAGCTCTTCGATCTTTATATTAACATAAGACTGTTCGCTTTTTGGTTATAAGAGCTAAATTTCAAATGGAACATTGTGAATGATGTTTCCAACATCAAACAATTCTGTTTAAAAACGACTGAAAACTCAAATACAACCACTCTCAACGCTTTTCTGTTCATAAATGACTGAAAACGTTTGAAGAGGTGCGTTGGCGCATTCACGTGAAACTCACGTGTGGTTCTAAAGTAGATTTTGAAGAATATAAGCTTCATCTTATACTAGCTTTATTAAGTTGAAGATCTTGTGAATAAAATTAAGTTTAGTGTCATCTTCAAACATAAAAGCTTTCCATTTTGTCTTATAAAGCTTATTATGGGTGAGAGCCTCAAGTCATCTTTCGAAATGAGAGGGTGGCGGGGGGGTGGCAAAAGAAAGGGTGCAAGAGAGAGAAAGGCTGAAGAATGATGGAAGCTATCGAACAAATGATTTGTTAAAGAAATTTTGCAGTGTTACTGACAAGTTTATTATTCTCAAAATAAGGAAAAGAAAGTAAAAGAAGGGTATCCGGTAGGCATTCAGATGAATGACGTGCTGATAGTGTCACACAGGCGCAAACTTATAGTAGGCTAAGAAAAAAATATTTTTTATGATTTGCAAGTAGAGTTGGTCTCATTCTAGATGTCTAAGACTAAAAAATAAAGTAAAAAAAATCCTTCATGATTCCGTCTCTAGGTTTGTGGCTTGTAATTTCAGACATTTTTTGAGAAGGCATTAGCATGAGAAGGGAAAGAAGGAGAATAGAAGAAGAAGACGGAGTAGAAGGAGTATAAGAAGAATAAGAAGATGAAGAGAAAGAAGAAGAGAAAAAAGAAGTAGTAAAGGAAATAGGCAAGTAGGTTGTTGAGGAGGAAAAAATTAAGGGAGAAGCTCATTTTGGAAACAATATAAGGATGTCCCATGAAAATTTGCTTTGCACAGAAAAGTAAAGAGAAGAATTGAAACAAAAAAAAAGTAAATATTTAAGAAATACCCCTCCATATTCGGCTAATACATTTCAAAATTTTAATTATTTGAGAGCTGGAAGCAACATGATCCGATGATGATGATGGATATAGAAAGATATAAGAATAGAGAGAGAGGAGTGGATGAGGGGAGGAGAAGGTGGAGTGAGGGGGAGATGGAAAAAATAAAAATTTCTTCAGATTATTTGAATAATAGGCTATAGCAGTTTCTCTTTTTCTTCCTTTTTCGGTCTTTTTCATTTTGTTCTACTTTGATGTCCAAAACAAAACCGGTACAGAGGATCTTTTAATTGGCTGTTTTTTTTCTTTTGAAAAACTAGCCAAGCCGAGCCGGCTCATTTCCATTACACGAGAAATACAAGGGGAAAAGGAAAAAAGAAAGAGAGAGAGAGAAAGAGAGAGAGAGAGAGAAAAAGAGAAAAGGAATACGAGAGGAAAAAATGAATGCAAGGGAGAGTGGATAGCACAGGAAAGGGTGGTAGCAGAGTGGACGGCTTTTTTATCTTGACTATAGTCAGAAAAAAAATTTTTTTCTCATAAAATCTCCACACCAAAAATACTAAGAGAATGTGCTAACTGGACAGACACAATATGAGATTTTTGAAAGAACTCTTAATATGCTGAGACTAAATTCCTTTTTGAGAACAAAAATCGAATTTCGTATCGAGCAATAGCAAAGATAGCCAGAGTCGCTGTCGTTGACGAAAGTCACGAGATGGTGGTTACTATGGCAATTCATGTGTGGGCTGACCGAAGTAAGTTTCAATAGCAGAAGAGAAGTAGAGAGAGAAATAGAGAAAGAGAAAGAGAGAGAGAGATTGGAAGATAAAAGCAATTGAGAAGAGTAAATTATATTTTTTTGTGTCGTAAAAGAAGAGTTTATATTAAAATTTGCTTGAAAAAGGCTAAGCTAAAAGGATGGGGTAAATGCGTTGTGTGTGTATGTGTGTGCTGGTGGTAGTGGTGGCGGTAGTAGCGGCAAAGGAAAAAAAACATCAAAAAATCTATAGCTCTTCCTTGAATGTTTATATGGAATGAATCAATTTTTATCTTATTTTTCGTCTTCTTATTCTGTTTCTCTTTTATTTTGCTTAAAAATATTTCGACGAAAAAAATTAAAGATTAAAAGGTTTGGATGGCATACTGATGATGTCAGACATGTGTTTCCTAATTGTTTTTTCGTGATAAGACCTCATTGGTGACAACTAATTTGTCGAAAGGCAGCCAGACAAAAGAGAAAAGGGGAAGTGCTAGTTCGTTCGTCTAAACTTTAGCTTCGTTGATTCGTAGCAGACGTTATACTTTGTCATGATAGAACAGAGACACAGTGTCTTGCTCAACTCAACACTGACGCGAAAAAAAATATATTTATTCATGATTTTGCTAATACCATCGTCAGTGGAGAGAAGATAGCAAAGATGATGCAAAGGTAATCCACTATAATCATCTGCCGTTTCAAATATAGATTCATGAGGCTTTACAACGTCTTTGAGCTTGTAAAATGCAAAACACAAGTTACTGCCTAATCTTTTTCCAAATATGGAAAATGATGCGATTTATCATATATTTTATTAGTTTATATCAAAATTTCGATTAAGCGGATGGAAAGAAGATGTTTGTGCTTCACTATCAGAAGCAGAGTTTGATCCAATTTCGGACAAAGAAAACACTTTGTCCGAGATTTTATTAATTTTTCTTTCATTTGGAAATGAAAAACAGATGAGAAAAAGGAAAAGAAGAAGCTGACGATGATGTAGTAGAGTGCATGAGTTTTAAGAAATAAATCGAAAAGGAAGAGATATGCAGAGAAAACAGAAAGAGGATGAGAGGAATGATGAAAGAAACAACGCTAACGACCGAAATTTTTCTATTCCTGAAAACAAGTCTGAAGCATTAACTCAACCGTTGCTTTTTATAAAAGATGACGTCAATTGACGTCAATTCGCTTTATCTGAGGTTTACATAGTCGAAAAGGTTGATTTGTGAGACTTTGCCAGCGGAAAAAGGACATGAGGCTCTCTGAGCTGAGCAAGCAAAAATATGTTAAGTAGGATCATTCCAAGGAGAAGGAAAAGAAAGCGCAACGGATAAAGAGGAGAAGAGAGAGAAGCTTATATACATGAAACTCTATAGATTTAAGTTGCAAAGATGTGCTGGCTTCTTCTATATAAGGGTATATGCAATGAAACGATGCTCAAACATAATGCCTATAATGAGAATACAAACTGATGGCAAAAGAGCATCTTGTCAGACATCCAGGATATAGCAGAGATCATGAGTGTACACGGGAAATAGAACTACTCAACTCAGAGACAATATCGGCAGATTGAATGCAGACAACTAGAGAGAAAAGAAAAGGTTTGAATGAAGTAGAAGTGCTCATATAAGAGCATCAAGGCTGTCCAGCAGAATTGCTAGAGGCGGGGGTGTACATGGAAGCAGAAGAATCGATAGAAGGCTGTGGCAGTATGACGTCAATGCTTCAGAAGGCTTTCTAAAACTCTCTGCGTTAACAGCAGTATTTCCCCATAGCTCCTGACTTTAGTCAATGCCTTTTTCAATCGAGGGTGTGTTGAATTTCTTTTACTTTTCTCTCTATCTCTATTCCTCTCAGTCTTTTTTCATCTCTCTCTCGATCCCTCCTTGTCATCCCCCCTTTCATTCTGTTAGTTCATATTTTGACTTTCGCTTCCTCTCTCCTCTTCCATGGGAGATTTTGTTTGAAGCCTGACCAACTGTTATTTGAACCTCCGTATATGAGCATACTAGAATTTAAAAAAATGGTAGGTGGAGTCAAATGCTGCTGTGGAATGAAAAAAAAATGAAGAAATTCCAGGAATGTCCAGAACTTTATGAATTCTTCGAAATTTTTTTTGTTCCTCTCCTCGATCATGCAATGGTATAATGAAGACGAGACGAGAAACCATAATGATGTCTTCAAATATCTTTCCCAGTATCCTTTTGTCAGCTTTCCATTAGCCCTTTTTTTGTCAATTTCAATAAAAATTGAATGAAAGCTATAGAAAGCTGAGAAAGCTATCGAAACGACCTCTGGTTGACTGAGATCTATTTACAAATTAGCTCAAGTCGTTGACCAATTTTACTTTTACAATCAATTTATTTTTTAAAGCCAAAACGAAGATAGAAGAGATAAAGAGGGACAGATAAAGAACACGAGAGAGAGGGCGAGAGAGAGTATGATAGAGAGAAAGTTTTTGTGACAGCTTCTCGTCTCTCAGTATGAATTGAAGTTTTCGTTTTTTGTCTCACTTTATAAAGCAATAATGAGTGGAAAAAAAGTGTTATGGGGCTGGATTTCAATTGGGA